AAAAGTGCGTACATATCTACGCAGCTGTCTCTGTTTCGGGTTTAGGGTTTAGGGTTTAGGGTTTAGGGTTTGTTGGACCTCGACGGTGGTTGGTGTTGCTGCTGGTGCATGCAGCAGCAGCGGCAGCAGCGGGAGCTTCGCAGCAGCAACAGCTTTTGCTGCTGCATCCAGAGAAGAAAGACAAGCAGCAAGAACGTCACTGCATGCGGCATCGAAGGGGTCTGCTGCTGCTGCTGCTGCTGTTCCTGCTGCTGCTGCTGCTGCTGCTGCTGCTGCTGCTGCTGCTGGAGAAACACCCTCGCTGCTGCTCTCCCCGATCCGCTGCTGCTGCAGCAGCAGCACCAGCTGCAGCGCATGCAGCACAGGAGGATATATCTGCTGCAGCAGCCAAGCCCTGCACACATAACACACAACCTGCTGCTGCTGCTGCTGCTGATGCTGCTGCTGCTGCTGCTGCTGCTGCTGTTGATGCTGCTGCTGCTGCTGCTGTTAATGCTGCTGCTGCTGCTGGTAGTGCTGCTTCTGCTGCTGCTGTTGTTTTTGCTGCTGATCCTGATGCGGCATTCGTTGTGCTGCTGCTGCTGCTGCTGCTGCTGCTAGTAGTGCCGCTGCTGCTGCTGCTGCTGCTGCTGCTGCTGCTGCTGCTGTGTTGCTGCCTGTCTGCGTTTCTCGTTTGCTTCAGTTTGTGTCTATCTGTTGTCTCTCCGTAAAACCCTAAAACCCTAAAAACTGTAAACCCTAAACCCTAAACCCTAAACAGTAAACCCTAAACCCTAAACTATAAACCCTAAACACTAAACCCTAAACTATAAACCCTAAACCCTAAACCCTAAACCCTGATTTGTATCCGCTCCCAAAAGGCAAGCCAGTAGGCGGTAGATATCTCCCTAACACTTGTCAATTCCTAGGGTTTAGGGTTTAGGGTTTAGGGTTTACCGATTGAGTTGCTGGTGGTTTAGGGTTTAGGGTTTAGGGTTTAGGGTTTAGGGTTTACCGATTGAGCTGCTGGTGGTTTGGGGTGTATTTGTGTATTTCTTCGGCAGCAATTTCAACACGAAAAAACAAACGCTCCTGTATATCCTAAAGACAGCAGCAGCTCACCATGACTAGCTGATAGAGCTTCTGCAGCAGCGCAGCAGAATCTTCGTTGCTGCTCTGCACTGCAGCCATCTCCAGCAGCAAAGTATCCCGAATGTCCCTGCATGCAGCAGCAGCAGCAGCAGCAGCAGCAGCAGCAGCAGCAGCAGCAGCAAGTGCAGCAGCAGCAGCAGCAAGTACAAAAGCAGCAGCAGCAGCAGCAGCAACAGCAGCAAATTCACTAAGAAAAAGAAATCTCCCTGCACACCCAACAGCACTACCGCAGTGCTTCCAGCAGCAGCAACAGCAGCAGCAGCAGCAACAGCAGCAGCAGCAGCAGCAGCAGCAGCAGCAGCAGCAGCCGGACGAGAGGTCCTGTACGCTGTTGCAGGCCAAGACAGCGGGGCAGAGAATATCGTATGCTGCTGTTGCTATTCCTTCTTGTATTGCTTGCAGCTCCTTCTGAAACACAAACCCTAAACCCTAAACCCTAAACCCTAAACCCTAAACCCTAAACCCTAAACCCTAAACCCTGGATCCTAAACCCTAAATTTTAAACTGGGGAGAATAAATACACATACATACACACACACAGATACACAGATACACGCATACACATATAAACCCTAAACCCTAAACCCTAAACCCTAAACCCTAAACCCTAAACCCTCACGTCGGGTTTAGTAGAAGCAGCAAACCCCTGAAACAGCTGCCGCTCAGCAGTGCATGCAGACAGAGCTTGTGCTGCTGCAGCACGAGTTGCTGCTGGGAGACTCTCAGCCCGCAGCAGCAGCCGCTGCTCTCCACACACACAAACCCTAAACCCTAAACCCTAAACCCTAAACCCCAAACCCTAAACCCTAAACCCTAAACCCTAGAGTGGATGTATAAACACAAAAACGCCAGTTTCTCACCCCAGATAAACGCCAAACCCTAAACCCTCAAACCCTAAACCCTAACCCCTAAACCCTAAACCCTCAAACCCTAAACCCTAAACCCTAAACCCTAAACCCTCGAGTGTTGCGAGGAAAGAGTGCCCCCAAACCACCGGTGGTTTGGGGTGTATCGACACCTCGCTGTCTCTGTAGGACTGCTGCATCTGCTAGACAGCCAAACCCTGCTGCCTGCATTCTTAGCAATCCCCTACACCTAGCTAGCTAGCTAGCTAGCTAGCTAGCTAGCTGTGGTAGCTAGCTAGCTAGCTAGCTAGCTAGGTGTA